GCTGTTAAAAATGGGGCAGTGTGGGGGGCAAATATCCTGCAGGCAAAATCATACATGGGGCTGAAATCCCACACAGGCTCCAGTGCAATATCATTGGTGCTAGTGGGATTTTAACCTCCCCAAACAGATAGGTCTGCACATCACTCTTGCAGCACAGCTGTTCTTGCAGAAAAATTGTAATTGAGATTCCCCAGTTTTGTGCAACCAAGAAAATATCTTGTCTTTTGGCCAACAGAATATGTGGCTAAATCTCACTGGGATTGCAGATAAGAGTTGGAATGACCTACTGGAGAAACATAGACTTAAATGTGTATGTGAATATTCCTTTGACAAAGAATGTTACAAAAGCAGTTCACGTGTGTGAAATTGACCCCGTAGTCCCCCTGTGTTTGTCAAAGCTTGCATCTGGGAGACAAAAACAGCCATGAGGATTGAAAAAGGATGGCAGCTGTTCTTCCTTAGTGGGGTGGAGGTTCTGCTCCTGCTGCTGGTTTGCTATCAGCTAGCCCTGCTCCCACTCCATGTCTCCGTTTTCTTCCATGCGAGCTGCTTTACCATCTATTAATTAGAAGTGCTGCATGAGAGCTGAAAAATAACATTATTTCTGGGATGCAACACACCTCTGCCCTAGGGAAATATAATGACTGCTGCTGAGGAGCCCTGTGCTGGTTAAATAAAACTTCATGATCTGCTCAAGTCATGAACAAATGCAGTTTACAACTCGCGGGGACCTCAGCAGTGCATTTTCCATTGGGGTTAATGCTTCACACCCCGGTTTCCCCTTAGCTCTGTATATCTGCATATAAGTATAAGAGCCTTTCTCACTATGTTGAGTGCCAGCATCCCCTGCCCTGTCCACATGCTGAGTTGTGGAGCTGTGACATATCTATCCTAAATGCTGGATCCTGAGCTGGTCCCATCCTGGTTTCCAGATCCTTTCCAGAAGCCCTAGCAGAGCCATTCCAGAGTTCGATAATTTCATTTTTAAAAAGCTTTCAATTTCTTTTGACAGGACTGGAGTGTTTAAAGATGGCAAAGTGAAGGAGATAAATAGATTATTGATCGGACAGGCTTGTAATTCCATAGTGAATTGGATTTAGCTCCTTCACTGAGATCAGGTCTCTGCCATAAATCTCCCAAGGAATCAATAGGATGGAGTGTGCCTGGTGAGGAGGCCTTCTGTTTGTTGCCATGGCCACAGCTAGGGGCTGCAAGCGAGCATCCTAGTGCAGGGAGGGCAGCAGCTGGCAGCCAGGCGTCTGCTGGGCTGTCCTGAGCAAGGGGTGGCTGTGACCGCATCGGGGCTGTGGAGGCATTGCACGCACGGCTGTGTTTGTCATCCTGAGGTAAGGCCGTGTGCAGCCATCACTGTGATGACACAAGGCAGGAGATACACCATCAGGACACACGTTGGGCTCTGCATCGCGGTGTGCTCGAGTCCCAGCTGACTCCAAGCTGGAGGCGGCTTCAGAGATGGGCTGGGCAAAGACTCAGATGGACCGCGATTAGAAATGCAGAGGGAGCTGCCAGCAGCAACAAATGCCAAAACCCAAACTTCTGCTAACTCCCTGATCTAGCTAACAGTGCCAGGGAATAGAACTAGCTGCAGCCTCTTCGGTCTCTGTAGGGTCTGTGTGCTGTGACTGTGCACCTGGCACCAGCACTCAGTTTGTGGTTGCCCAGAACTCTGTGTCAGCAAGTGGCTTGATGCATGGAACCACAGCAGTGCCAGGACTCAGAGCCTCGTGTCTGCTGAAGCCTTAGTGGTCTGTTTTCTTGGGTTGGTTGCAGGTCTGGCTCTGAAAGTTAGTGGATATCTAGATTGAGAATGCATCAGAATGCAATTCAGTGTGTTTCTGCGATGGTACACAGCTCAATCTACTTGTCCTTCTGCATTCTGTTCATCTTCACCTTCCCCAGAATCTGTAAACTCAGAACAGAGATATAACCATGGCTTCCCTAAAATTATTCGTTATTCAAGTTAAATCGATGTCTGAGATTAATGCTTACTGTTGTGAATGCTGTGGGAACATGCAATATTTTCCCCTCCACACCGAATTTTGCTCAAGGCAAGTTTACCCCATCCCTCAGCTCCCTATCAGGCCCCCTTTACTTGCACAGTTGAACTCTTCAGGTTCAGCAGCATTTCCCTGAAGTTCAGCTCTTTGCAGAACCCCTGGAGCCCCACGCCTTGGCAGTGTGTGCTGGGGGCATTCCAAAGCCAGGCTTCACTGGGAGATCTCCATTGCTTCCTGCTTCCAGCTGCACTGGCAAGACACAAGGTAGCTTTTTTCTATTTCATTCTCCCTCTGGTGCTTTCCGTACCCCAAAAGGCAGAGAGGCAACGAGAGGGATAGGAGTAGGAAAGCAGCTAAGTTTTTCCACTCTTGAAAAAAGAATCTGTGGCCCTCAGGGTTGGATCTGATTTTGAGAAAGTGTGCAAGGGATATTCACTCACCTTGCTACTGTGTGTTAATTAAAAGACATTTTACTTAGACCCACTGGAAAAAAAGCCTTGTTGGTTTCCCATCGTCCATGGAAAACATACAAACTGCTTTTTTTTTTTTCTGTTAGTTTCAAGTAAAAGAAAAAAATCCAAAAATTTGTCGTGAAGATCATTTGGGGGATTGAAAAATGGGGAGCTACCCAAATCAAAGTGCCTGGCAGCTTAGGTTGGACATTGAATTGATTTTGACTTTAGAACAAGTGCAAGCTGGGAAGAGATTTCTAGGAGAGCAGCTCTGTTTGTAAACTTTTTATCTCATCAGAAAAGCCACAACTGATGAATCACATTTTCTATCGAGAAAACTTTCAGGAAACATAAGCTGCTCAAGCAAAACTCATCTTGTCTGACCATTCCCAGAAGTGAGTGATGCAGAAGAATCTGAGCTACCTATAGATGTGAATGCAAGTCCAGTCCAATTTTCTCATTGCGTACAAATCACAGAGCTGCTGTATGCCATAATCCAGGCAGTCATTGCTTCCAGCTCTTTTAGCTCACCCGGCAGAAAGTCCTGTTTGCATCTGTCACATTCAGGACTTGCTGAGGGGAATGGCTGGAATCAGTTGGATTACAGACTCCCTCTGCTTTCTGGTGGATCAGAAGAGATGACCTCCAGATCTGAGTGGCTCCTACTTGGAGTTGGTCATGGGTTATGCTGTTATCATTGGCTTTAGAAAGCCTTTTCCTAGCCCAGATTCCCATATCAGCAGTAACAAGAAGCAGTGGGAACAGGCCAGAGGCTGGCTGGGAGCTGGTGCCTTCCAGAAGCCAATGGGTGAAGCCTGAAAGGAGCCAGCTGGGATCTTCTGCTTGCTGTGGGCATGGTAGGTGGAGACTGGGATGCTCAGAAGCAGAAATGATGGCATCCATCACATCTACTGATTCAGAATGGGCACTGAGTGATGTCACTGGGAACCATCCCAATGCCCTTCCAGGCTTAAAAACCTTTTGTGATGATTGAAGGGGCCAATGAGGAGAGCTGCCAGCCTGGCTTCCTTTCCCCAGGATAAAGGGACAAGCCATCCCAATGCCCCATCTGCACCTGAGCGCTCGGATCCCATGCTGTGCCTCAACGCAGGAGGCAAAGCAAACCCTTCCCACTAAGGAGACAAGCTTCCCAGCACTGCCACTGTCCCTCACATGTCTTCTTTTGTCAAGAACTGTTGCAACATTTTGTGGGCTGCTTTCTCCCTTGCTCGCCAGAGCTTTGAAAATGTCACCCACCTTACAGGGAGTGGCACTGGAAACAAACCCATGTGTTTTCTGTCCATTCAGACATCAAATGTGACACGGAGAGATGAACCAGCTACCAGGAACCTGCTCAGTGTGCATGGTGCTGCTCTGCTCTGCTGTTTGTCTGACTCTGTCTGCTACACATCATTAGCTGCTCTTGTTCCAAGGCTGCTCCTCTTTGTGCTGTCTTGATGCTGTGGATGCATTATTTTTCCTTGGAAATGTGCGAGTACATATGAAGAATCTCAAATATGATTCAAGCAAATGCCTGGCTCCTGGCCTTACTTTGGACATCTCTTACCACAGGTGTGCAGATGTGAGTATGGGGGCTCCCAAGATCTGCTTCTTCCCTTGAAAGCCCTGAGATGTGCTGAGTTGTGATGTCTGGAGAGCCACCCCTGTGACATGGGTTTCTCTCCTTTCCTGCCTGCTACAAGGGAAGCAAACGCAGCCTAAACTGTTATCTCTGTGCATGCTGTTGTAGCTCGAGGGACTCTGACCTTGCTCTGAAAGGTATTTAATGTCTACAAGGAAGATACAGTCAAAACAATTCTCTTTCACCAAAGTGAAACACAGCAGAAAAAGGAGCGAGGAGGAGTGAGAGCAGGCTGGCAGTGCTCAGCTGAGCACTGTGCTCCTCCTGAGCTGGAGTGAAGGCTGCTCAGGGCAGCCTTTACTGCTGGTTCTGCTGAGGATGCTGAACTCATGCCCTTCTGAGGATGGCATAGCTGGAATAGGATCAGGAAGCACATTTCAGAGGGGCTGTTTGTAGGTTAGTGGTGGTTCTGGCATCTGCTTTCACTCCTTCTCAAGGAAATCCCACCTACTGTTTTCATACTTCCTGCTGTACATTGGAGCAAAACTTTCTTCATCTGCAGGAGCTACAGTAGGGCTCCTTCCACTATAACCCATCCATGTAGCTTAGAGCAGGAATAGGACAAAGGGCAAAATGTGAGTGTGGAAAGCCCAGCTCTGAGATGTAGCAATCAATTGTCCAAAGGTATTGGAAACTTCATTGCAATGGAAGGCTCATCCATCTCTCTCTCAACAATTGACACCTGATGTCTTGGGCTTGATCCCTGTTCTGTGCCTAGAATACAGCTGCATGTGTGTATAAGAATCATTAGATCAGAGCCTGAAGCAGTGATTGAACACCTGGTGAAGGGCTGTAGCCAGCCCTGGGAGCACAGGTGGGAGCAATTCACCCATTGGAAGGGGAGGACCCAAGGTGCACCCTTCCCCAACCTCATTTCAGGGCTGGCAGCTGTAAGAGTAGCATCTCTATTTGGAGACTGCCTTCTTTAGAGTGCTTGATGAGGTTTGATCTTCAGAAAGGGGTAAGTGGTTCCTTCTTTGTTACCAGGATGTGATTGCTGCTTTTCTTGGGTGATCCAAAAGTAGTCTAATATCTGCTGCCTTCTGTCTTTACACCGTGGAACAGCTGCTTCAATCAGAGCCCCTTCCTCCTGTGTCCTGCTCCTGTATTTTATCATCTGATTTTATCTCCAAATTGAGATAAAATATTTCAACTTCCACAACATATGAAACTCCACGAAATGTCTGTTCCCGCTAATCAAGATAAAGGATCTTAAACCCCTCAATAAAGGTGGAACAGCATTTTGAATCTTCAGGTGTTCAAAGCTTTCCCTTGAGAAAATAATGTAAAACATTCTATTCTTTGCTTTTATTATACCATTATTTCAAATAGATAAATGTCCTCTGGAAGAGGAGGAATACTTGAAAATATGTATTTTAGCCAGGAGTAGGGAACTTGCTTTGAGCTGAAGAACACTTTAGGGAAACTGAGGAAGGCAGAAGCCACACTAATTGCTCAAAGGCACAGAAGAGTCACTTTGGACCTGTGGTTAAAATTTATGAGAATGTAATTCCTGGAACACCCCACACAGAAGCTTTTGTTCCTTTTACTCTGTATGAGTCCTTTGGGGTATGGGAATAATCTCTATGGTGATTATTTGTGATACCTCAGCGGTGACCCCAGTCCCACAGGCTTTTTCCTTAGCTGTTTAATTGCTTGCCTATCCCAGCCTGGGAGCCTGCACGAAGTGCCCTGAGATGCATTGACTCAAGGAGGAGCTGTTTCCCTGTAAATGAGAGCAGGACCCGTTCTTTTTAGATGCTGATGGATCACTTCAGCTTCAGTATTCATGGTCTGGGCACGTGCCAAGTTAGGTGTGCAAATCTGCCCCATTTGTGGGGCATCGTCTTCTGTTATCTCAGAAGGTAACTCAGATTAAGAAGTGAGGAAAGAACAGGGCTGCCTGGAGACCCCGTGGAGTCCACAAGCAGGCACTGTGTGGATCCAGGCAGAAACACCAATAGGGCACCAGTCTTCTCAGCCCCACTTTCCATCTGAAGATGCCCTGGAGGTGCTGGAAGGTGCTGGTTCCCATCCTTTCCCCCTAGCTTTGCATGCAGCACCATGACCCATCTGGCCGCTATCCAGAGCTGAGAGCTGGGATTCCCACCCTCAACCTGAATCCACCTCATCTGCCTTTAAATAGAACAGGACTTGGAGGGAGACTGGAACTGGAACGGAGCTCCTTCTGCACTGCGGGGCAGTGGGGTCGATGAAGAAGAAGCTGATGGTGAAATCAATTCATTCATTCATTACAGAGCTGCTGCAGTCACAAAGATATTTCAGTTGTGCTTGCTGGGAGGTCCTCATGAGAGAGACATCTCATTTTCATTGCAGTCCCCAAGGGTGGGTCAGAGTCGCACAGTTTGATTCCTGCTGAGTACAGAGTAATACGGATGTTGCAGGGACAATGGAGCCTCTTGCTGCTTGGAGGTGGTGATAGTTTGAATGAAATCAGACCCTACTTGAATCAAAGATTAGTGATAGGAGAAAACAGAGAACTGGGGAGGGATGGTGAATGTTATTCTCAAGGCTTGCAGAATGAGAAAATGAGACTGGGAGTGTATTTCCCACGGGCAGATAAGTTTGTGATCAGGCATCTCTTGTTGGGAGGGATCTGTGCCCTGGCCTGGTGCTCACAGTGAAGTCTTCTGAGCTACTTCAGTAGGACTCCACTAGAAAGCATTGTAGCCTTCCGCCCAACCTCACTGTGGTGGCCAGACCAGCACATCCCACAGCTGTAGTTCTGTCTCTGCCCACCGCGTGTACGGCACCCTCTGCTTTGCTGCCTGGTCTTGTGAGCAAAGCTCAATGCATTTGCATATAAATTCAGGTCATATAAATTCAGACAGAGGTCTGATCGCTGAATGGCTCTTGTTGCAAGATGCAGTGCTTTTTTTCTTTTTTCCCCATGTACCTTTGTACCTCAAATTGGAGAGCGGAATGTTGGTTGCTTAATTGCAGTGGTGATTTCAAACCCTTTGCTCCTTCCAGGGAGATTTTCAAGAGTCCTACAATCAGTATCTCAAAGCCTTCTGAAGATATAACCATTCATTGCAGCGCTTGGCTGGGTAATGTTTCAGAGAAAAAAATGTCATCCTGTCTGAATACACCATGTTAGCAAGAGAGGAAATGTACCTATCGACAGATGAACAGACAAAAAGACCCTGCAATGCTTGAAAAATAACTGGGACTTCTCAATCACTTCTATCTACCTGACAGCAAAGTTCACCTGCGAAGCAAGGGCAGAGTCTAAACAGCTACAGCATAATTTGAAAAACACTGATGGGAGTGGGGCTGTGGAGTAAGAACACCAAAGTGCTGATGGATCTGGTGAGTTCCTGTTCTGTATTGATGACAGGGACTGCACAAACAGACCTTCCTGGGCTGGCTTAAAATCTCATGAGAAGCACTGTATCACAGCAGCAATAGGCTGAAATTCATGGAAGTTTCAGCACAGGAGCAGAGCAATCAGTGCATTTCCTCGCTTGTCTTTGCAAGCAGAGATTGCTCATAAAATGGAACAGGCCTTCTCGGCTTTAAGGAAAGAACAATGTGTGGAAACATTATTTTATTTCTTACAGTTCTATGTAAAAACTGTGAGGTGCCACCATGACGTGAAACTTCCCTAGGAGTTTGTTTAATTAGGGGTAGTCAGGGTGGAAGAACGTAGGGCTATGGGGGGTGGATGCCTGTTGTAGGGGGCTCACTGCTCCTTAGCAGCATCGTGGCCCTGTTTCAGATGGTGCGTGTGCTGAGGGTGTTGTGTGACCACACCTGGAAAAGTGCTTGTGTTTCTGAATTGTGAGAAGAAGAGTAAGTGTAAGGACTTGCTTACAGTCTGTCAAGAGCTGAAATTTTCATGTTTCCATGTCCCGCATTCAATGTCTCTTTTTTTTCCCCCTTTTTTTTCAAAGCTCTGGTACATATAGGGATTTTCTTTTCCTTCCATCCCCATTTTCAGTCCTCAAGCAGGATCCAGAAGTGCTACAAATACTTCTAAGGGATGTCTGCATAACCAATTGCCCGATTTCACAGACTTCAATGGCATATAGTGGAATCTGCACATTTGTCTCTGTCTGCAGCCCTGCAAACCAGACACAGCAAATAACAATGACAGGAAGCAAAGTGCCCCAAACAAACCCTTTGTTACAGAGGGGACTGAAGAGGGTTATTTTTTTTTTTTTACTATTCTAAATTTTTCTTCAGTTTCAGAAACTTCTATTCTTTATGTAACTACTTGCTGCTGACAGAGGAGAGGACATCAGAAGTATGACACAGCTAATTTTAGGACCGAGATGAATAACTCTTTAATGACATGTATCTTTACATATAAATCCCAGATGGCCACCTGCACAGTCCACCAAATTTACAGTATTCAGCAAGACAACTTAGTTGGGGGGGGAGGGGGAAATAAAACCCCAACCCAAGAAGAATGCACTATTCAAAGTTCTCTTTGGCCCAGTTTCCTCAGCTGCTTGGGCATTGTGTCTCTGTGATGGCACAAGCAGAGCCCCTTTTTGTCCCTTCCTAATTTTCCTGCTCAAAAAGCAGCCCTGAGCTCGGTCTGACTTGTACTGCCACAGCTGATGGCGCAGTCATTTCTGGTGGTGCACCACTAGCCCAGAAAGGTTTTTGCTCTGTTAAAACTGGTGGGACTCACAGTCCATGCTATCAGCATCTCATCCCTAGCTTGGCAGCCAGTGGGATGAGGCTGTCAGTGCCAATTACCAGGCACTGATCCTTCTCTGGGTAGCACCGTTCTTCCAGGTTTGTTTCTCCTGTTACAACAAAAGAGGAAGCCTTTTGTAAGCAGTTCAGATAGTTTGTCCTACCCTGTAGAAGTAGGATTAAGGACAAGGGAGACTGACTATGCAACAGCTTGTTATGGGTTATGCTTGTAGCATTTCCCATTGCAAAACTGCTTTTAATGATCTGGGCCTGTGTTGTCCTTCTGAAAGTCTGCTGCAGGTTAGGTTTTGCAAGAGCAGTTTCAGATAAAGTGAAGCAGAGTTGCACACCCACTGCCACCACAGAGATCACTCTCACGTTCTATGCTTTGTAATGAGAAAATCACCTATGATAAAAATAGCATGAGGTGATGTCATTTAAAATTATCATAATGCATCTGGTAAGAAAAACCATTGGGGATATTGGGTGATCTGAAGTTTGAGGCTTTTTTTTTTTTTGAATCCCAGATTTTGTAATTGTAACCTGCTTCTATACAGTAATGAGGGCATGATTTGTTTTGCAGAGGTCTGGTTCTGTTCTGAATAGCGTGGGCTGGTGCAGGGGTTGTGGGGAAAGGTGCACAGATATGTGAGCTGTGCATAGAGTGATAGAATTGTTTGGGTTGGAAGGGGCCTCTAAAGGTTGGGTTGGATGTGGTCTGATTCCCCTGCAATGAATGTGGGTCACTTCATGTCACCAACCTGTACTGGTACAGCTTCATGCTGTGTCAGGGCTGCATTTCTCTCCTGTTCAAGCTGAAAGTGGAAGCAGCCACCAGAAGATGTCATCCCCCTTAATACTGCCCAAATGGAACAGAAGGACTCTGAGAAATGAGGACAGCAGATCCAGGAGATTCGTATCCATCCTCATGCTGCTAATACTGCAGCTCCTTTAAGATGGTAACATTTCATTGCTAGGAGATAACCTGAGCTGGTAACTGTGCAGCATCTTTTCATACAGACTAGCTGGGGCCATTCCAATTGAGTATAACAAATGACATAAGGAACAATATAAGCAGTGCTATAAATAATAATGCTGCAATTCCATTGATGGCTTATGGTGGCATTATAAATGATCGGAGCGAAGTCAGGAGGTCTCTTCACACCACCAGAGCCTCATGCTGGAATTATAGATCTAATTTAAGTGCATTTTGGGGGTAAATTATTTATTAAAGTGTAAAGCTTATGGAGATAAATGTTCAAGTAGTCAGACTCCTGGACTAGGTGAGCATTGCTGGTCCTAATAATTACAGGTAGAATTTGCCCTTGGGCAGAAGGGCTAGATGAAGTTTTTAGCAACATTTCAGATATCCAGAAGCCCTGGAGGACACTTCTTGGCACAAGGGTGCAATCCGTAGCCTTGCAATGAAATGGCCTGCTTGTATGAGCAATCAGTTCTGAACCCAATTTCTCATACATCCATTGCAGTCATTAAGCTGGTGTTAGGAGATGGAGGGCAGAGAAGCCTTTCTCAGGCTGATGGAAGAAAACATGGGTCTTACAACTGTTGTTTTAAGTCTTCCTGTGTTATGGCCCTGAAATGAAGTCCTGGTGCTGTTTTCATCTCTCGCATGTGTTTCATTCTAATTTTAGCCAGAACTTGTCAGCATTACCAAACCAGGGGAGCAATGGTGGGGCTGTGGTGAAATTCTCTCAGCCACGGATTTCTTAGTGACCTCAGAGAGCCTGGATGTGGCCGCAGAGCCCAGAAGACCAAGCTCAGGCTCTACCTGGTACTGCCTCCCTGAAGTCTGCTTTTGGGATGGGAAGCAGAGGAAGGCTGAGCTCATGATCTCTGTGAGGATGCATTTTCTGGAGTTTTCTGTAGCATAAAAAATTGTCCATGGAGCAGGAGTCTCAAGACAGTCTTGCTCCACTGGGCTGCAGTGGAGATAAATACATTAAGATGAGGTATTAAGATACAGTGGTAATTAGGAGCCATATAAGTAACTTAGATATAAAATGAAACTACTAATAATGCATAAATGCAAAGCCTTAAGAGGTTTGCTTCGTATAAAGCACCCAGCCATTTGGTGGCTTAGCTCAATTCTCTGAAGCTGCAAATTCAGCCTGAAAATCTTATGAGGATATGCTCTTTCAGTGAGATTCTTTTTTTTCCTCCTTGTCATATTTAAAATATTGCTGAGGCCAACTTTTTGTCTACAGGCAGTGTTTTTTTCATAGCTTCCAGCCAGACTAGAAAATGTTGGAAGGCAGGGAAAATATATTTAAAATGTGAACTTAGCAGACTTGGGGGAAGATCCTGATTAAGGCACTGTATCTATAGGCCAGACCAGGGAGATGAAGATGGAATCAGTATTCCTGCCACTAATTCACTCTGTAACCTTGTGTCTGTCGCTAAGCTTTTTTTTGTGCTCTATTTTCCTTGTCAGTAAAATGAGTATTATAATAGTTACCTTCCTGATAAGGGTTTCAGTTAATCAATTTCTAAAGCCCTTAAGTACAGAGAGAAGCAAGATAGCATATCAACGAAGTCTAGCTTTCATCTGTGCCTCAATATTCTCTGTGCTGCGTTGTCTGTAACTGAACAGGACCCGATCTATATAAACCAGAAACTCTCCTATTGACTTTGATGAATAAATAGTATTTTTTTTTTGCAAATAATACCCGCATGCTTTTTGTCACAGGCAGAATTTGCTCCTCTTTAAAATGTGTTTGAAAAGCAAATCAAAAAGGTTTCAGGTGGGCTGGTAGAATTAAACTCCCCTGATGACTGAATTGCTTGCACAGTTTGCCTGTGCTGTTCTTTGTAGCAACTTGAGTTGGTTTTTCTGCCACCGGTGGTAGTGATAGACGGAAAAAGCACTGCGCTTATTTTTCCCCTCAAAATTCTGAATTTTAGCCAAGGAAAAAGGCGAAGGAAATAATGAACTTCTGACAGGCATTTCTCAAACAATAGAATACTAAATCATGGTTTGGGAATGAAGATCCTTTCTTACAAGGACCGACTAAGGAGCTTAGCTTTTTTTAGCCGAGCAAAACTGAAGGCTGAAAAAAGAGGAGGTGATTGTTGCACGTAAGTAGATTGGGGCATAACAGCAGGGAAGAAAAAGAGCTATTAAATCTAAAGGACAATGCTGAAACAAGAACAAATGGGTATAAACAGACCATTAATAAATTCAGGCTGGTAATTAGAGGAATACGTCTAAATATCCGAAGAGCTGGATTATAGATAGTCTTTCAGGGGAAACAGGCGCAGGCAGGTGAAGGAATCCAACTGCATTTCAGATGGAGCTGTACATGGCAACCTTGGCTTGGGTGGAGGAGTGGACCCAAATCCAGCTCTGTATGTTTTGCTTGGAGAAGTCAATTGATTTTTAACATTTCCTCGAGTTTACTCCATCTCTAGGAAAACAGAGGGGATAACCACTTTTCTTCCAAGTTGCTTTCTACCTATACCATGGCTGGATTCTAAATGGAGAAGCTATCGCATCACCATTTTATCGGAGATACCTTCTAGTCCTTGTTTGCTCCGCAGCCAAGTGCTTTTATTGTCTTCCCTCTTTTCTCCACAGTTGCTGTCCAATCCTTATCTCCTCCTGTCTTGTACCCCTAAACCATTTCAAACCTACCATTTCTCAAGTAAAGATATACAGCTGTAGCTCATGGTTACAAGCTACAGGTAGAGCAGTTTGTACTTAAGATGCCATTGTTTCTTACTGACCCTGTTCACTTTGGGCAGCAATGGCTTTCTCTGCAACAGTTCCCAAACTGAGTCCTAACAGCTCAGTGCTTTAATTAATAATTTAAGTGATTTGCATTCCCTGAAGTGCATCCAAACAGATTTATTACAAGCATTTGCAACCTGTTCTTCTAAAGCACTTCTCTGATGTCTGTTCTTAGAGCTCACCACCCAAGTTGGTTAGAGCGGTAGTATGAAGGTAAGTGCTATTTCTTGAAGCTTGTCTTGGGAGCTGAGCCAATTAGGACGGGCTGATGTTAGGGTCTGTGTGCTCATGTGCTCATTCAGGTGGATGAATGTGCAGGGAGAAGTGAAAGAAGCAGAACAAAACCCTCAAACTGAAACATCTGGGGAAGGGGGAGGAAGATTCTAATTGCTCCTACTTCTGGTCTCTCTTTTAATGAGAAGGCTGGTGTGCTGTGTCATGAGCTATTGCCCACTAGTAGGTTAGTGCCTTCTATTTATTTCTCTTTCTCTGCCACACTGTCCTATGCTAGCTCATCCCTTTGGACACACAAATCTTACCCCCTCTCCTTGGACCACTGGCGGAGCTATTCCTGCTCTGTCCTAGGTTATATTCATGTAGCTGTCCTCCACTCCTTCACACCAAGCTGAATCCTGCACGTGTCTGACCAATCTCACCTGGCCCTCAGCATGCAAGTTTTGCTACATTGCTGGAAAATCCTAAGTCTTTTATTTATGACTTGTTTTAAGAAAGCATCAAGAACTACACCTAGATGTAAGCCTCAGAGACTGTGTCGTCTGAGTAAACAAGAAAAGCGTTTTTATAGCTATTGGGAGCTGCATCACAAAGTCAAAGTGACTTTATCCAAGGTATGGGAGAAGTTCATAGAGGAGCTGATACTCCAGACTGTCTGCACTATGCGTTAAGCTTAAAGCTGTCCTTCCTTCTCAATTTGAGGACTAGGTCTGAGTTGCTGCGGTTTACTGCGTCTGCCTTAGCACTGCATAACTCAGATTGCCCTTTTGTGCTTGGTCCTTCTCTGCCCTTCACTTCTGCTTTGAAATTTCCTTGGCTCCTTGCACATCTGTCTGTATTTTTGATATTCCTCTACTTTTTTTTTGAGGCACCTGCCTGCTCTGTCCTTTTGTATTTAAATGCACACTGCTCACTTTAAGCAGTGAATCAATCCCCCATTCCAATATGCTGTGTGGGAATCTCTTGCAGTGAGGGCTGCAGCTTCACCCCTAACCTGTGAATTCTCTCTTGCTAGGGGCATTGAGCTCCGGTCCCTCAGCCACTACAAGAAGAAGGTTTCAGCCTCATTTTTCACTGGTAGTGACTGGAATGACCAATCTGCCGCCTGCTGGGGAGCGAAAGGTCAGGCCAGGTCCACTCTGTGGCCACTTGTTTTTCTCCACAGTGACCAATTTCAGACAGTAATAGAAGCATCAATAATGTCTCTGTCTTCCCTGACTGCTTTTTTCTCCCTCCCCTATTGATTGAAATATTGCAGCTTCCATTTGTTAGCTCAGCCCCTCTGAGGCAGGCTGAGGTGTTCACTTGCAGCACATGTCCTCCCCATGAGCAGGATGTGAGAGCTGAACTAATTTGGGATCGTGGAGGTGTTGACTGCAGACTGCAACTTGTAGTCTCCTTGGCTCCTGTTCTCTTGTGGCTGAGGCCAGAGTTCTCAGGACCCTGGGGCTTTACCTGGCAGCCAGACCTCTGCAAGATGCTTGAAGACAACAGATGGAAGAGAATCTCAAAGGGCTCCTTGCTGTCCAGCTCAGTGGGCTTGCAGCTCCTGCTGCCACAGCTGTGGAGGAAGCTGAGAGCAAGAAGAGCTTACGGACAGGGGCTGTGGGACACACATGTCCTCGGAGCCCTGCTCAGCAGTGTGTGGAGCATGACCAGCAGAAATGCAGTGGGAGCACAGGTGCTGCCTTCCTTGTTCCCACCTGCCCAGCCTGATTCACCATCAGGGAGCTTGTGCAGGGCAGACAAACCCAAAGGCATCCTTTGCTTTCTTGTCTGTCACTAAACACTGCTGCAGTCTTGTGTACCTTTTTATCCCTTGAGTGCAAGCAGAAAATACCCGTTAGAGGGCTTCGTTACAAGTCACACTTCTTCCCTGTGGCTGGGTCAGTGCTAACAGAGCATCCTCAGCTATGAATCTTGTCTGTCGGGCTGCAGGGCTTGCTTTTCTCAGGGTAAATTAAAGTTCAGAGCTAAGTGTCTAGTTTAGTGGTCTCCTCAGTCTGGGACTTGTGTGCTGAGCTCTCGCCCTGAGCTTGTCCTTGTTCTTCGTGTAGGGAAAGGCCGCGAGGAGATGGTGATGTGCTCCATCTCCTCAAGTTTCAGCAGACCCAATTTCTCACTGTTCTTTCCAAGTTCTGCAGTATCTCAGCCTTAAACATGCTGCAGAGCACCTCATAGCAGCCCCCACAGGCGCTGTAGCCTAATCATAGCCTTCTGTGGTGTTTAATTGTTGTCTTGATCATGTTTGGGATGGGTGGATGAAATGATGCTGATGGCTTCTGAACTTCTGCTCTGCAGACCATATGCGCATATACAGCCCATCAGAGTCCAGAACACAGCTAGCACCCCCGACTTCTTTTGACAGCTGGAACTTGATGGAATTTGGTTGTTTTAAACAAATCTGTTTCTGTGAGCACATGCTTCTGACTGAAAGGGTTTTGTAGTTTAGAGTTAATTGATATTCAAGGGAGATTATTCAGTGGTAATGCATTCATAAGCAATGTCACTGTTTGTTTGAAAAATTAAAACATTAATTTAAATTAAACTGTAAACAAGAGGAAGGCATCTTGCATGGGTAGGAACTGAGATGGCAATGCAGAGTGTCTTCTGATTGGAGTAATGTTATGGCTCTAACTGTCTGGGACTGACATGCTTTAAAATGAGGAGGATTGAGAATGCTTTGGGCCGTGTTTTCTAGCTTTTTGCAGCATCTTGTCTCTTCATTAGGAGGAGATGATGGTTCAGTGATCACCTGAGACTTTCAAAACATCTGTCGATTCTCCTCTCCATCAGCCTTCCCTTACGGCTGTGGATTGCTCTCACTGGGGCATTACACCATCTGAGCCCACAGGGTGATGGCATTCCTACCCCATGAAGTGCTTGCTGGAATTGGAATCAATCCTTTTAGGCTAGAAGAAAAAAAATGCAATGGACCATTTGCACAATACTACCTCTATCACTTCCAGCAGGAAAGGCTTTTTGAGTAGAGAATAGCATTTTCTGAGATGTTTCTCTTTACTAAAGATCCCTCCTTTATAGACAGATGAAATGGGGCCCCATTTCAATAAGGGTCAATAAGGCAGGCTGCAGCAGCTAGGGCAATCACCTGTACCTTGGATGACCTGGGTTCAAGTTTCTGTACTGCTGTAGGACTTCTCTGCAGCTTCAGGTGCCACCTCTTCTCTCCCCACATCAATTCTTTCTTGTGGCATGGGGCCATCACTATCAATGCTTCCTTGCTTCACGAGATTTCCAGAATAGAAGTGCAGGAACTGTGTGGTAACAAGGATTATCTAAACAATGTAATTAGATGGATAAGCATGATTATTTCCCATATCTTTTATGACAAAAATGTTTCCAGGAGCCATCATATACATCGTATAAGCCAGAAGCAGGAGGGAAATAATTCCCTGTCCTCAGCTGTTTTGTTGTTTGTTTTTTTTCTGTGTGGCCACAGCATTTCTTTTGGGGAGGAGGGTGGTTATTTTATCCTTTCTTACCATTGATATGTAGGGTACCTTTTGCATGAGTTCATCACGCTGTGCCCAATAATATTAGCGAGTGAAGTGTAGAAAGTTCTTTATGGCAAAGGAAAATCGAATTTCCTCTCAGAGATTATTGGCAATAGAAAAGTCAGAACGATGTTAATCCTGTCCAGTACAG